CTCTTATATTCTATCTAGTTCTGAAATTGAATGATGTTTTCAAGTCACAGGTCACCTAAACGTGAGCCACTAAACTCTGTCCTGGACCAAATTCCTAGCCTCCTAAGCAGAAAGAAAGGGCTGCTCCCTCTCTGCCCCCCAATTTGAAAAGCAAGTGACAAGAAGCTCAAGTAACAGGTATGCTTTTATTTATTTATTTAAATTTTTAAAATTGATTTTAGAGAGAGAAGAAGGGAGATAGAAATACAGATTGAGCTATAAAGATGAGAGAGAGAAATGTCGCACAGGTATGCTTTTAAATAAGTGGGTGCTACTAAAAAGATTTAAGCTATTTATCCATCATTGAGCCAGTATTTATTGAGTGTTTACTATGTGTCAAGCACTGCAGGGGTACCCAGAAAATCAGGTTCCAGCCTTCATGGTTGAATGGATTCTGTGGTTCAGTTTATTTATTTATTTATTTATTGGCCAAAAACAATTTTCAAATACCTCAGGTACCTTTAAAGTACTGTATCTGATCTCAGTCCCTCTTTCCAAAAGGTCAAATATGTTTTGTTCTGTATGTTAAATCCAGATATTAAGTTGCAGTTTGTAAATTGCCAGATGGATATTAAAAATATCAGCAAGGTAAGTAGCTGATAACAGTTTTGCTGTTGTTGTTTGGGGGATATATTCTGTTGATTATACAAAAAATATAATGATAACCCTGGCTGGTGTGGCTCAGTTGTTTGAGCATCCTCCTGTACACAAAAATGTCCCAGATTCCATTCAGGTCAGGGCACATGCCCAGGTCTCCGACTCCATCCCTGTAGGGGGCAACTGAATGATGTTTTTCTTTCACATCGATATTTCTCTCTCTCTCTTCTTCCTCTCTAAAGGCAATAAAAATATATTTAAATATATATATATAATTATTCATGCTCATTTTGAAAATTTCAAAGTATTAAATATTAAAAAGTTATAATTATTTTTCTTCACAAGCCACCCCTTGCCCATGATAACCAGTATAACAATTCTCTATGCATCCTTCCAAACCAAACCCTCACCATTTTTCATTTGCTCTTTTCATTTGATAACTTTGGAGATTTTTTTTTTCACATCAGTATTTTTCATCCACTTTGTTCTTTTTCAATCTTGCATGGTATTTCATAGTTCCATGTACCATGATTTAACATTTTACAAAATAGTGGAAATTTTCATTGCTTCTAATTATTTAAAATAACTAACAGTATTGCAAAGAATATCACATATGTCTGAACATCTTTGCATACATATGATTATATTTGAAAAAACAGATTCCTAGAAGTAGAATTGCAGAACAGAGTATAAGCATTTTCAAATATGATAAATATTGCCAAAATGATTCCCAAAAGGCTGTGTCAATTTATACTTCACTTAAAAAACAAAATGTGTCTTTCTCTTAGCCCTGCTCCTTAAGATAGCTAACAAATTTCAATATTAAAAAATAAATGTTGCCCTAGCTGGTTTGGCTCAGTGGATAAAGTGTCGACCCACTGACTGAAGGGTCCCGTGTTCAGTTCCTGTCAAGGGCATCCCTTGGTTGCAGGCTCAATCCCCAGCCTGCTTGGGGCACATGCGGGAGGCAATTGATGTGCCTCACATTGATGTTTCTCTCTCTCTGTCTCTCCCCCTCCCTTCCACTCTCTTTAAGAATCTATGGAAAAAGATCCTCGTATGAGAATTAACAAAAATAAAAATAAAAAAGATAAATGTGAAAGTCTGTCTGAAATTCATTGTCCTTATTATTAACAATAACTCTGAAAAGTCTCCAATGTAAAGACAATGTACCTGACTAAAGTGAACAAAACTGTATGACATTTCCTAACCACTTAGCATGTAGTTTTAATAACAGAAGCCTAGATACAAGAAAACAGTTCACAAAGAAAACAAAAAGGTGAAACCTTTCTCTCTTCCCTAATTTTTGGTCATAAATTCAAGACTTCTCATGGACTGAGCTCCATAGGTTTGTGAGTCTCTGTGATTCAAAAACAGGGGTAAGAATGGAATTTAGGTCTTCTAGGACTACTTTTAGAATCCTGGCTATTCCAGAATTCAGAAGGCATGGAAAAACCATGTCCTCAGTAAAAGTTTCTGAGTTTCTGAGTGATCAAATATCACTCCCATGACCTGGCGTGGCATGGAAGCTTTATGTTCTGTATACTGCTCGTTTCTTAATGGTGAAGAAGGTAGCATTCCGTATTGCTAATTGCTCTATACTTTTGAAATGTAAGACAGTTAGCCTGGCCGGTGTAGCTCAGCAGTTGAGCATCGATCCAGGAACCAAGAGGCTATCTGTTCAATTCCCGGTCAAGGCACATGCCCAGGTTTCGGGCTCCACTGACCCCCAGTGTGGCGTGTGCAGGAGGCAGCCAATCAATGATTCTCTCTCATCATTGATATTTCTATCTCTCTCTCCCCCACTCCCTTCCTCTCTGAAATCAATAAAAACAGTCATAATAATTTAATTTACAAATTGTCTAACATTTTGCCTTCCTTGTGTTTTTATTTTAATTTGTCTAAGAAATTTCTCTGAAACACCTTTATCTGATAAAAGATACCCCCCACATTTATGATGTTTGGACAAAATACAACTTTGAACACTTACCTTAAGGTATTCCAGTATGCAGTGGTAGTTAATATTTAACCGACATTACCCTATTTATATTTACAGTTAGGACTTCTTGAGACAAAAAAGCAATGTAAAAATACCAGTATAGGTCAGAAATGAGATCATTTATTAGGTAAATCTGGGAGGTAGACATTTTTATATCATTTTATCCAAGACAAATATAAAGTCATAATCATTAACCTGTATTCCCTAAAATAGAAACATCGGAAATTATACTGAGTGAAAAACCTAACCTCAAAAGATTCTATACTACATGATCCCATTTATATAACACTAGAGGCCCGGTGCATGAAAATTCCCAGCCTGCCCCCTCTCACAGTCCGGGAGCCCTCAGGGGCGGGAGGTGACCTGGCGATCAGGGAAGGCGATGCCCCATCACACCTCTGCTGCTGCCACTGCCAGCAGCGCAAGCCTCGGCCGGCCATGGTTACCTGAGCCTCGGGCAGCCCTGGGCGGCTGGGGTGCTGAGGGGACTGGGGGACTCCGGAGGCAGGCGCCCTGGCGGGTCTCAGGGGACTGGGCTCCGCCATCTTGTGGCTGTGGGCACCTCCATCTTTGAGGGCTGGCAGT